TCATCATCATCATCATCATCATCAGCATCAGCATCATCATCATCATCATCATCAAAATAATAATAAACATAATCATAATATTAATACCTCATCTTTACATATTTTATTATCACGAAAACACATGCACTTAGTTACGCGTTTCTTTTTTTTAATTTTTTTTTAAAGAGTATAGATAGCATAATTTGTATAGCGCAAATCCTCGCTCAACAGCAAGCTCTACCCGCTTCACAATCTATACTATTACCCCACCAGACCTCAGAGCATTCTGAAACAACCTCAACTTTCTGAGAAGTATACACTGCAAGCGGCCATTTATAGGGGCTAAAACACTAACATACTGACCAAGTCTTTTGCTGTCTATAGCCGGGTACCTATTCACACCTGGGTGAAGTGAGGAAAATTCGTGTAAAGTGCCTTTCACACGGGCACAACGTCGAGCCTGCGGCTCCAACTCCCGACCCCGCAACCTCACGATCACAAGTCTGGTAGCTTAACCACAAGGCCACCGACGCCACCGTCTACTACAGTGCTTGCCACAACCTTGGCAATATAAGACAGAAAGATAAGATAATAATTTATTATCTCAGATTGAATTTTTCATTGGCTGTAAAAACACATGCAGGTATGCATACAAAAGTAACTTATATATTACTCTAATTAAAATTTAATGTAAAAAAAAGTACAGCTGACAAAATGTACACATATCACATCAGATACATCAATCATCCACATGCAGGAATTTAATTACAAGACCGTTAGAGTTGTGGTTCATAACACTCATGCTGCGTATCCCATGGACAGCTAGAAAAACAAATGAAGAAGTCTTGGTTGAAGTAAAAATTGCAGACGACAGCTTATGACGAATATACGTAAGAAACAGGCAAATTTCATTGGGCACACAATGCGGAAAGAAGCATTGGAGAATATTGTAACAACAGGCAAGTTTGATGGAAAGAGAGGCTGAGGCAGACAGAGGGAAAAGATACTCGACAACACATACTAGAAAGAGCGATACACATTGATGCTTATTCTGACAATACCCTTATGAGGATTTTTTAAAAAACTATTTTTTATATATATCTTTCTTTTTTTGTTTTTAGAGGT